AACGTTATATTCCTTCATAAATCATAATATGCCCTATTGAGAAGAACGATCATAACGTTATTGCTGTAAGACCTTGGGAAGCTCGAGCTGCGTTTGAGTAAGAGGGAGTTACTTTTAAAAATCGTAGGATTGCATGAGTTTGGCAACCTACTGTATTTGGATCGGTCAGATCAAATATAAGGATAGAACGCAATTAAAGCATCAATCGTGTGTTGACGTCACCACACACGTTTAAGTCGTCCACTTTTGAAGAATCACAAAACGCACCACATTTATATCTATTTTATCCTGTGGTTAACTTGAACGAGAATTGATTAAAAGGTTGGAGAACCGTTGGGGTATGATGCATCAGACGTAACTTGCGACCTTAAAAAATTTACGTAAAAGATAGACTATTCGGTGGCTTCTTGGGGACGGCTGTCTGAAAACTATAATAAATTCCGCATAAATATAAATTGCGAATCAAATATGATAAGGATGTACAACTTAAGGTCACTCCAACATCGACATAAAGTCAAAAACAAATAATAGGCGACAAAAGATTCAAAGTCGTCTGAAATTAGTACCTTTTGGCTTCAGAACCTTCGCTATTTTGTAGCGGAGAAATATCTTGTTGCCTGAAGCGTTTGAATATGTTTTCACCAACGAAGGCGATACGGCAATGAAATTTTTGAGACAGATGTAGATTCCGTTCTCGTCATCCGGAGCCGCCATCGTAAACGCACACTCATCTTTGTAGATGTGTGAGTCCTTTGAGGGAATATTTACGTAATTGTCAATGTTCTCAAAACCCATCTAAAAAAATGAAATCAAACGTTTCAAGGAAAATAAATTCCACTGTTTCTTTTTGTTAGATGCCCTCTGAGCTCAATAATCTAATATAATCTAATCTAATATAAAATAATCTAATGTAATAGATAATATGCTCATCTGTTATACACTTCTAAAAAGTGCGAGCCACACAATAATCCAACCACAAGGAGAGGCACAGTACAAAACAGGTTAGTTGATCAGAGAAGAAGGGTTTCTCCTACCACCAACCTACCTCCTCGCAATATTAAGCTGCAACGGATTCGGTTGCAAGTGGTGCTACTTAACCGTACCTGTACAAATAACGATTTCTTTATCAAAACTGACAGCTCGTTTCTATATCCGCCCACTATTCATACTTGACTTGTCCAGGCTGGAATCATAAAACGTAAATGACATGCTAGTAGTTGACCCTGATAATGGCAAAATTGTGGCAGACTTTTTAATTTGTTGGACGAAGTAAATCTTGATTAGATGCAATTAAGTATTTAAAATAGCTAATTCTTAAAAATTTCCATATTCTGACTTAACCTTGTACAAGCAATCCAGTCTTTAAATTGTATGCCGTTGAAATAAATTCACATGGAAGACTTAACAGTGAAAAAACTGAACGCCATACAGTCTACGTAAAATATGGCAGAAATTAGGGGTTAGTTCTAGCGCACAAGCAAGTACTGGTTTCAAAATTGGAAAGGAAACTGAACGGCATCATATTCAGTGCGGCAATTAGCCGCATAAGCAAGTACTCAGGTAAATGTCTATGAATTTTTACTCTTTTGACATTAAACCTATTGCAAGGACAGCGCTATCTTGATTTATATGGGAAAATTGGGGATCACGCTCATACAACACTAGATATTACTTCAGTTACGGTCGCGTTTATTAACTCTAGTGCGCCAGATAATAGCGTAAAGAAAGCGGGAAGCCGAAAAGCAATGGAAACCACCTTAAGAAAGTAAAGAGTGTTAACAACAGTGAACTTAATCTTAATGAGAGGAGCATGAGATTTGGTAACTGAAATAGGTTTTTGTTAATATTACGATGGATTTATTTATTTGTTTCGTCAACTAAAACCTTATAAATCTAACTGACAATACCTCCTCATTAGGCCGTTTAACTGATTCAACATCAATGAGAGAGCAGTTCCCAAACATTTAACCCTAGAAGTAACCCAAACACTGATTCTTACCCTTGCGCAAATCCGACAAGGTCTTGTGCTACTTTGACGTCCAACAAGAACAAGAAGGTATAACCCGGTGGATGCAATTTTGTTGAAAATTAATGAGTCTACCTAAAGTCGGCTACAGCAAATTGTTCAACCCACTTCCATTTATTTACAAGGTAAGAAAACATGCATTAAGATTCCAAAAGATATTCAAATTGCGGTGGTAAGAAAATATTGATTTGACGACAGATAAAGAAAACGAAAAGAAGTACTAACTAAGTTTTGCTAATGAAATTCGCTAAAAAAGAAAGGAAGGATTACGTGCCAAATAACCTCTGTGGGTTAACGACAAACGTGTACCACATAAAGGTCAGAGCTAAAATTGGCCGGGAAATAACCGTAAAGAGGTGAAAAAGCATTTTTAACTTAGTTAACTTGACAGCGGCGCAAATAGGCAAGCCCAATGTTGTTAGAGAATCATTAAGAGATCAAAGACACGCTGGGATAAACGTGGTTGTCAAATAAGGGAAGAAAAG